ATATACCAAGTTTGAACAAAATTCATCTGTAAACAGCCGAGAAATGCTTGATTTTGATGAACAGGGACTAAATTAGAATCACTGTCATCAATTTTAACTTACTCATTGTACTAATATGAGACATATTTATACATAATACTCACCACAATTTAGATATATTTGGTTTTGTAAGAAAGGTACACTAGCTTTCGAGTTAAAAATAAACTATATGTATTACATGTATAGTCAAAGAAAGTAATACTGTAAAACCATTTACTTTCACTGACATTTAATTTCACTATTTTAACTGGGTTTTAAGTTCACAAACTTCGCAAAAAAACAATTAGTTATATAATTATTTTACATATTCACATGGATTTAATTTTAAAGATTTTATTGACATGTGTATCTGTGAAAGTTGCTAAATTAAAAATCAGTGAATAATAAATACATTTACAGTAAATATTAATGTACTGTGGTAAGTACACCATATTTACACCATCGTAATAAGTTAATATGATACACGATAAAAGGATACGCTCTGAGATTGGTGATTTTACTGGCTCTCACAGTTGGAGAAAACATTCCCATAGAACTGTCAGCTATCGTGTCTTGCACTAGAAACAAAACAATACGTTGATGTAATGCACTTGATTTTAATCAGATGTATGTTACAATAGTGTCACACAAACAATGTGACATTATACATGTATGTACATTCATTTCCTAAAATACTGTAAAATATTTTATTTTAGCAGGCTGTTTGGGTGTTTTGTGTGAAATTTATTTTCACTCAATTTTGGTGAGTTGAATGTAAAATATATAAAAAAAGGTATATTCGCTGGATTTTATTTTCACTGAATCATTCTTTCAGGGAAAATAGCGAAAATTAATTCCAAGTGAAAATAAAGTATTTTACAGTATACCTCCACGTACATAACCTAACATGCTTATCGTATTAGTAAAGTGCTCATCTATTTACAGAGAATACAGTATATGAAATTCTTACCTTCATGTGGATTGTGTAAAGCTTGTTGCATTATTCCAATCAAAGCGTCAACATCATCCTGCAGAACAATAGACATGAACAATAGACATAAACAATAGACATGAACAATAGGGTCAATGCTGGATTTTGTTAGTGACAATAAATTGTTGTGAATATGCACCATTTTGGTGACAATTATGCACGATCCAATTGCGTACTATGAAATGTAATGTTGCTTGCAGACCTTCTTGTATTGACAACAAACGCTTATGTGATGACAAACCTCAAGGTGCAAGAAACGACGTTTCCTGGTATCCTTGGGTAGCAGGTGAATATTTGAACTGCTCGTTAAGATTTGTATTGGGTCGGTAGTCAGAGGTGAGAAATGAAAAATGTGGATGTCGAGAAATTTACAAAAAAGAATCACATTACGGTACATACATCACCATCAGACTCAAAATCTTCATGTTCCGAGTAAAATGTTTCTGCTGCATTCGCATCTTCTGGAATAGCATTCAAGATTTTCTCTGGTAAAACCGCTTCCTCTGGCTTTGGAGCCTCCACTACAAGTGGTTGGGGATCAACCTTCTTCGGGGGCACTTTCTTTGTAACTTGTTTCTTTGGAGGGGTTGTACCTTGCTTCTTTGATGGTGCGGCTTTCTTAGTTTGTTTTCTCGGTTGCCGGGTACCTGTTTTCTTGTAACCGCTTAGCCCGGGAGGGACAGCATTAGTTATATCTGGATCGTCCCAGTTAATGGGTTTTGTCATGGGTGTGATTGGACGGTTGTCATATGAAGTGGATCCTAAGGAAGCTGTATCAATAAACAACATTAAAATAGATCAGAGTATGTTAAACATCACGAAACATTGACAACCATAAAATTACAAGCAACCATATTTACTCTATTAGTAACACATGCATTTATGACAAAGGTATGTCTATGGTCAATGATAAAATGATTCATATAAAATAGTGTAACACTAATTATACTATATTTGTTCAATACACCGCCCACACAAAACCTTGTCAATGAACAAAGTTTTGGCACGTTGGTGAACGAAAAAAAAACACTGTCAATTTATTTATGAGTCACGGAAAGTATATAGTGTAGTTTCAGAAATGTTCACAAACTTTTTATCCCATGTTTGTTCATTTTATTCTACAAAATTATATTCATGTAGTACTAAATGGATTAAAAAAATATGAACAAAATGCTGATCATTCACAATTACCGGTAATTCTTTTTGTTAGCAGTACTTGATACTACAACATAATTTATAAACTACTGTAGATTACTTTATTTTTGCTTAGAATTTATTTTCGCTATTTTCGCTGAAGGAATGATTCCGTGAAAATAAAATCTAGCGAATATACTTTTTTTCTTATATTTCAAATTAAACTCATCAAAAATCAGTGAAAATAAATTTCATACAAAACGCTCGAAATGCCTTTTCAGCGAAAATTAATTCCAGCGAAAATAAAGTATTCCACAGTTATGTCAAGCACTAGAATAAGTACTAACCTGCTGCTTTGATTGGTCTGTCATCGTGTAATGTAAATGGAACCGGAGCTAGAAAAGAAACAAAGCTTAAGTTTTAAAATGGATGAAGCTATTGATGATTATCATAGGGATCATGCAGTCAGACAGGAAAGCCAAGGACACCATGCAATGTACATGTATGGCTAATGATGTAGTATTCCTGTATGCAGTAGAGTATAAATGAAGGACTGATTATTTATGGAAAAGTAAGTAATGGTAGTGTCAAGTACCGGTATACCATATTAAAGCATCCTTCTAGTAAAACAAACAATGAAGCAAGCAAAGCAGGCAACAATTAATATTATTTTATTTTTGTACAACGCTCAAGTTATTTATTTGTTATAAAATTATCCTTATTATACACGAACCATGAAATAACCAGCCATATATCATCTATGCAAGTGGAATCACTAGTGCAGATCAATTGTGTGGGATCACTGCAGATTACCAATCATGTCAGATCACTGCAGAACACTGATCATGTTGGGTCACTGCACAACACTGATCATGTCGGGTCACTGCAGAACACTTATCATGTCGGGTCACTGCAGAACACTGACCATGTTGGATCACTGCAGAACACTGATTATGTTAGGTCACTGCAGATGCAGAACACTTATGTCAGTTCACTGCAGAACACTGATTATG